TTATATACAACTAAACATTTTACATACAAACTTTTATCCTCATTTTAACCCTATTAACGGATGATTTCAAGGATAAAAACTATCCTATGTCCTTCTGAGGGTCTCAAACTATCTACTTACTACATTTCATCTAAATCGGTTTAGTATTTTTTGATGTTATTCGGTACAAACAAACAAACAAAAAATCTTCTCTTTCTAATATTAGTATAGACAAATATTTTGCTAAGAATTGAATGCATAATATTATGCAATATTACGCGAACTTTTGACTAACTTTCAAAATGCAATAATATTTCTTTATAATGTACTGATTCGGCGAAACAATTGTGCAATATCAGGTTTGCATTCAAAAGACTCGGCAAGCCATATAAATGGGTATTTCGTTTCCAAATTTCAAACTAACGAAAACAACAAGTTATTTCTCTTTGTGAATTTGTATTTCGCAATTGTCACAGAAATAGTAATGTTTTTACTTGAATAATATACCGACTTCAAAATAAAAGATCTTGATTTTTCAAGTATATTTGTTTGATAACTGATTTGTTTTAATTATAATTGAATAGATTTTGTGTGTTATTTAATCTTAAATTTTAGATGTAAAATACTGTTAAAGGTAATTTTATAGGTGTAGGTTCATTTTTAGTATTTTTTTAAACGGTATGGTAGTTGCAGTTTTAGCGGGCATAATAGCGTTACCAGAGAATACAAGATTTACTTATCACTTGTATTTATTTTCAAATCTAATCAAATCAACGCACAGTTAAAATATACTTTTACAAGCACTTTTGAATCATTAAATTTACATATTTTATTACAATTACATGTTTGTAACAATAAAACAAAAAATATATAATTACTAGCGACTCACCCTCGCTTCGCTCGGGTTCGTCCCTGGCTTGTTTCCCAATACAAGCTTTCATCCTATTTTCACACCCTTAAGAGATGATTTTCGAGATAGAAAAGTGTCCTATGTCCTTCCTAGGGTCTCAAACTATCTTCTTTCCAAATTTCATCTAAATCGGTTCAGTAGATCCAGAGATTACCCCCCTACAACGTCACAAACAAACTCACAAGCTTTACCTCTTTATAATATTAGTCTATATAAGAATAACACAATCCATGTAAGGTTATTTAATCAAAAATGATTATTCGTCGATTGACAATTTCTATTAACGGCCCTTTGTTCTTGTTTCAATACCATGTATATCATAACAAAATTATTAATTAAACTTGATTTACATAGCTATACTCTTCTAAGAATTAATGTCTCGAATTACATACATATGTACATAACAGCCATACCTTCAAGCATTGCTCCATATATCTTTCTCTTTATGTATAAGCGGACAGTTATATCATAAATCAAGTCTATATAAGAGCTGTTCTAAAGAACTTCCCTTTCAAAAACTTCGAGGGTACTCAACGTCCATGAACGAGTGTTAGTGATGAAATTTATAACTACGCTTTTGTCACGTTAAATCATGTCATTAATTAAATTAAACTTAACATTAAAATATTTGGTAAGTATTATCAATTATAGTTTTAATTGTAATGTTTTCTATATTAATATTATTAAGAGTAAGAAATTATTTTTTTGTATGTTTGTTTGTTATGGAGAAACTAAAAAAGCTACTGGATCGAGTTTAAAAAATATTTCACGTGTCAAAAGCTACATTAACAGCGAGTAACATGGGCCATATTTTATTTTCAAAAAAATTAGAGATCCCCACGAAAGTTGCAATAATGTAACCTAAGGTAACAAAGTTTTGTCTAAAATCATTAAAATATATTCGTATAATATTATTACATAAATCCCCTATGATCTTATATTATTTGGCACATACATTTACATAAATCCTATCATTCGATAGTAATAAAATATTTTATATATTCACCTCAAACCTAAAAAGAACTTTGATAGATAGTAGGAAATTAAAGTTTCTCGAAACGTACGCTTTAAAAACTTTGAATGTGCCAGACGTCTGCGTGTTGAATTGAGTGCCACTACACTCCATACGAGACTATTTCAACTACTCATTTGTCTATGCAAATTAGACATTGAAGTTGAAGAAACATCTTGCTTATCTATAAATGTAATAAAATTCTGAGTCAAATCTGTACATTAAATACTTTTTTGGAAAATCTTATTGATACCATCATTATTATTGATACAGAGTCTGTCTGTCTGTTTGTCTGTCTGTCTGTTGTATGTAGGTACGTTTTGACGCTTAGTATAGAATAGATAGACTATATATTTTATGTATATATACAATTAGGTTTAATGAGTTTTATATCCCTCACTTGAGAAATATAATATTAGTATGGATAGATTATACACAGCAGTACAGTCTAAGTACTTTGAACAACATGAACTAATGGTCATTATTTTCACATTTCCTAAGGTATCCGTAGACCGTTACTCACGAGGTGAATGTAGATGATGCGAGCGTAAAATTCACCTCACGTGCATCGAACGAACTCTGCTTACACCTAATTACACGTATGCACTTTAGGCTGACTACACATGCAGCGATTAAAAAACGTTAATGATTTTATATTATGATTATATTGTGATTTAGTGGTACTTTGATAGAAAAAAGTCTAAATTATTCCTAAAGTTAAAAAAAAATGGATAAATATGTTAATTTAATTTTATAGTTACAAAGATTATTTCTAGTTGTTTAAATGACTACGATGACTAACAAAATCAAAGTAGTAAAATTTTCTTTAAATTAACTTTTCGTGTAGAGTTATTGGATTGGATCAAACGTCGCAGCTGAATATTCCGTTACTTCCTTAATAACAAATTAAGGTTAAGTGAAGTTTGTAATAGTTTTAATATTTACTATATATAGTCAAATATTTCTCTAGTAAAAATAAAATAGATAGAAAAAAGAATACTATACATATATAAAAGTGGCAATAGTTTCGCACTAAAACGTCACATGGGGCAGAATTAATAGATCCTATTACAAGAGGGAAATTGTCGATTTGTCACAAATAACAATGGCACCCTTGCGCCTCGTAACATTACCGCTCCTATGCTGTGCATCCGCCAAGTACATATATAGTAACGGTCATTTAGAGACTTACTACCTATCGGTAGTTTTGAGCTGTCTCATGATGTAATTATTCCATTGCTACGGCTATTATAACTGTCTCGGTGGTCTAGTGGCTAGCATGTATGTCTGCAGATCCGTAGGTCCTGAGTTTGAGTCCCAAATCGGGCCAAGTTTAATTACTGAGTTTTTCTGTTAAGATACTCTCAGTAACACCCCGAATTTGGGAAATTTGCGGTATTTCACCCCCGTGCCTCGGAGAGCTTGTAAAGATATTTGTTGGTCCTGCGCCTTTACTTTGGCTGGTCCTGTTAAAGTATCGTCCCATCGGACTTTGAGAGTAAAAGGAATAGAGAGTGCACCTGTGTCCGTGCGTAAACTGTGCGCTATAATATCTCCTGCGCATCTGGCTAGTCTCAGTGAGGTTGCCCACCGTGGCCGGAATCTATCAGGAGAACACTATTATTAGTTATTAGTACTTATATTATATTACGCTTATTAGTTTTATTAATATTTAAAAAAATAAGCACTTTGTTATCATTAACAAATCAAACAAACAACAAAAAAGGTCCTTTTAAACAATTTCAGTTAGGGCGTATTAAAGTACACAAATATGTGCGTTGACCAAAGGAATCTTTATACTTTTAACACTCATATCCTAATAGGACGACAACTCGATACAACTGGGAAGAGATATGATTCAGGTCTGATAGCATAACGTACTCTCCGAAGTACATTAGCTTCTCAACTCTACTGTCTACTCTACAACTGTTATTGAGTATTTATTGATAGAAAAAACTCAATAAATAATGATGACCCTACTCGGAACTCATATATAGGACTTTCAGACCTGCCATGCAACCTTACATGCTAGCCACTAGACTAACGAGATAAAACGGCAATGATAAAAACTCAAAGAAATCTTATCCGTCCATTTGTTTCCCAAAAATGAAATAAAATCCATATTTTAAACGTTAAACGCGTAAAGTAATAAAATTTTCTTCACTTAAAGGGATTTGTGCTATTCTATTTATAGGAAACATCATAATATAATACGAAACCACATGACCTCACGTATCAGAGACCGACATACTCTATAAGTAAATGTTCCCGCGCCACATGTGAACGCTTTGCTAAGGAATACACAGATTTAACAGAGAAAATGTGGTCGTATTCGAAACAAAATTTGAATGCTCGACATTTCTGAGGTTATGGAGTCAAATATTAAAATTATTGGAAAATTGATTATTTTATAGTATATTTACTACAAGAATAAAATCTCTATTTTCAATTGTTTATTGTATATGTTTTAAAATCATTCAATCGTTGGTTTTAGTTAACATTATTTACACAAAAGTAAAAATTACATGCTAATCGCTTCTTAACGCTTTAAAAAAAGGAAAGTTTGTAAGCAGCCTTAAAGTATCGAGTGCATCCAGAGAGTGGATCCTTTACGACCGCCTTCAGACAATTTGGGCTAATTGCTCGGATACAGAGACAAGTTTTACAACTGAATAATTTAGTTCGCTTTACGTTTGTTGAAAATACTGTACAGTTTTGTTTTCCGGAAGATACAATCTTTGAATAAAGTTCTTAGCTCTCGGTTATACCGGAGAATTTAATTTATGTTCAAATGCGTTTGCATCGCTACAAAATTTGCTTTCTGAACTTAAATTTTGTTTAAGCAAGTATTCGAAAATGTTTTTAGCTAAACAATAAATAATTAACAATTTTAACAATTCATAAAATATAATGTAATATTTAGTACAAGAAGCGAATTTAACTCGAGGTTTTTTTAACAGATCTGTATACAACTAAGATATAATTGTTTATCTAGTACTTAGCTTCGAACATTTCGAATTACAATATAGTGGAAATATCTGAGATTGTTTTTTTGTGACATGGAAAATTCTCAAACACGTAAACATCCGTCTTTGTTAGAGTTTACCATCCCATCAGACTATTTTCTCCACAAAAGATCTAAAGGAAAGAAAACCTAAAGGAAAGAGAAGAGATAAAGGAGGAGAAGAGATAAAGGAGGAGAAGAAAGAAAGAAAGAGAAGAAAATCAGAGGAAAGAATCAAAAATTAGTTGAAGAAGAAACATGTTTACGCATAAAGTAATATTATACCGTCAATAAAATTATAACATATTCTCAACTAATATAGCTCACCAACTCGTAACTATATTCAACGTCCAATTAAAATATAAAGCCTAATAAAGCGATGAATCTACTGCAGACTTTCAATACAGAATCTATTGTTTAAGACTTAAACTTTAAGAACAAGAACAAATAATTCTAATGTGACATTTGATATTGATAATTCAAATAGATATTCTGTCACTTAAAAATCTATACATATAATAAAGTTGTAACTGAGTCAAATCTGTACATTTAATATTTTTTTGGAAAATCTTATTGAAATAGTCATTATTATTGATACATAGGCCGATTCTATAGCTTATGATTTTTTGTCTATCTGTCTTTCTGTCGCATAACGAGAAAACTACTGGACAGATTTTGATGACATTTGGTATGATGAATACTTATGACTAGTAATGTCATAAGTATTCATTGTCATCGGAACTGAATCAAAATGTAAAATGTAAAATTAAATTGAATAGTTCTAATTCAGCTTGTAAAATTTGACCCAAACGAACATACCAACAAAAAAAACATTTCAAGTTAAATACCAGTCTTTAAAAAACAGTAGAAAAAGATGTGAAATACAGTAAGTAAATAGCTTAACAACAATCTTCATATTGACATGAACAAAATATAAAATATATGCGCATCGACTTTTTTTTATAGTCGGTCAAATAACAGCGAAGAAAAGTGCCCAGTATATTAGACGTAGACTTTATTACCATGCAGTGACAGTTCTATTATGCGAGATAATTTCATTTAAACAGAACGTAGTTTCATTACTTTTTATGATCCTTTTTAGGGTTTCAAACAGAAATGACCGACAGATTGCTTCTCACTTGTTTAATCTTACTAATATTATAAATGTGAAAATTTAGATGTTTGGATCTTTGGATGTTTATTGCTCGATCACGGCAGAACGCCTGAATGGATTTGGATGAAAAAAGATAGATTATAATCTGAAATAACACATAGGCTACTTTTTATCCCGGATAAATATACTGTTCCCGTGGGATAAATTAGTTTTTGTTTTTTTAGAGCTAAGCCCGAGTGAAGCGAGGGTGAGCCACTAGTGCATAATATAAATTCTTTTAAAGTCCCCATTTCTTTAAACATTTTCTGTTTTGTTGATGTTTTAGCCCGTATATTATTTAACCACTATTATAAATAAGTAAAATAGTACGTGTGTGTTTGTTTGTAGCTACTTTAAGCTGAATCAACTGGACGAATTTTAATGAAATTTTGTTCACAGATGGGTTATAACCTAAAGTAAAACAAAAGAAGTTAGCTACCTAAATAAAATGTGAGTAAGTTGCTAGCATAATTATAAAAAAATATCAATCAATCAATCAGCCTATCGCCATCCACTGCTGAACAAAGGCCTCCCCCAAAGAGCGCCAACCATCCCGGTCTTGGACAGCCTGCATCCATCCACTGCCAGCCACCTTTCTTAGTTATAGTACTTATATACGAACTAATAACTTTTTATGTTAAACAATTCATAAAAAACAGCTTTATCATTTATTATAGATACCTAGTCAGATATTTTCGAACTCGGTGTCCATCATCAGAAATACAAACAATTGCGAAGTTTCGAATCAATATGACAATTAAAAGTTGGTAAAAAGTCCTAATAAATCTATTAATTTACTTCAAAATTCATGGTTATTTTCTTATTTTCTCGAAGACGGAAAACTCTATGTTTAAGAATATTTCGGGAACACCTCGGGACCTAGTAATACACATTGAAGTAGAAAAACGGTCAAGCAGTCTTCGAAAAATCGGTGAACATATATAAAAATAGAACTACGTGTTTGGAAGTCAGTTAAAATGATAGGGTTCATCAATTTTTCTCTATATATAAAAAAGAATAGACCCATTGCAGACATTTTCAACTTCGTATTTTAGATGGGATATCAACAAAGGTAGGTCAATTTTTACAAAGCGCTCTTAGCAGTCGATCACTGCGGCCCGTGACCGCGTTACGGACAGTTGGTCTTGAGTAACTGCGAACGGATGCATCGGTAGGGGCTGTTTACTGCTCTTAGCCTGAATAACGGCTCTCTGCTATTGTGGGGAAATCCTTTTTGTTTCCCACTAAAATTGAAAATAGATTTGTTTGTAATAGATAATATTAATCGGACTATTATTATACCTATATGAAAATTTTGTATGTATGATTGTTCTGCCTTTCTTCAATGCGAGAGGGGTCAGGCCATAGTCAACCACGCTGGCCAAGTGCGGGTTGACGGACTTTACATGTCTTCGAAAGCGTGCTAAGTTCTCTTAAACATACAGGTTTCCTCACGATGTTTTCCTTCAACGTAATACAAGTGGTAATCATGTTAGAATTGATTCGCAGACCCGGGATTTGAACCCGCTTCACTCGATTTCCCAAGCGAGCGCGTTACTACTGGGCTTCCACTGGTTTGTTTCTTACTACTTGAGGCCAAAACAACTGGACGGATGTGGATGAAATTTGGTACACAAATACAATATGACCTGGAGCAATAAACGCTGCGATTGTAACAAATCTTGCGATACGACAGTACTGAAATAATAACTTAGTGGGGCATAAAAGCTCTCTCGTATGCTTCTTATACAAATATTTTATATTAAACTTCCTCTACTAATAACCATCAATCAGAGCTTTTAGTCCTTTTTAAAGCTTTTCCTAGTATAAGGAACAGCTTGCATAGTTCTAAATCATTTTTAGCCTTCGACGAACTGGGATAATATAAATTTAATGTCTATATCTGCTTATGGCTGTCGAATAAAAATACCGATTTTAATATAGGTTTTTTTTCTAGTCGTTTCAAAGAATGATTATACTGTAATATATAAGTAATCTAATATATAAATATCTTGTGTCAGGGTGTTTGTGGTCGCTCTCCTCCAAAATGGCTTAATCGATTTTAATATTTTTTAAATAATTAATAGGTTTAAGAATACGTCGCTTTAGTGTTTCTGTATGAACAATGTTATATAAATGGTCGTAGTGAGTCGCTAGAGTTTTTTTTTGTAGATTGAACGCAGGCATAGCCGCGGGTTCTAGTAGCTAATATAAATATATTATGTTGTTTGTGTTTATAAACAATATGCTGCCTTTGTTGTTAAATAAAACTCATTTTAAACAAGATAGCTTTTAAAAATGAAGTGTTCGCGAGTAAAGCTCACGTAGTTCAGAGTGACAAAGCCATTACAAAACTTAATAAAGTTTTTATCACGGACAAAGAAGTTGACTGCGTTTTTCTGTTTAATTTTCTTCTGAAAATATTTCGTGCGACGTTTTAGTGCAACATTTCATCACGAATGGTTTAAAAAACTCAATTGGATTTAATTTTTAAGACTCTTTTATAACACCCGACAAAAACGAGTGGATAACACAACTCGATTGACACTTGCTTGTAGCTGTGTATCTGTAAATATGCCTGAGGACTCATAACTATCAAAAGCATGACTACTATCAATACAGTGCGTTGTTTCTTTCCTCTATTTTTACACATGCCACATTACATCAATATTTTCTATTATTATCCTATATATTGACCTGGATAACCAGCTATTATTATACCAAATTCCATCAAAACCTGCCCAGTGGTTTTCTCGTGATGTGGTCACAAGCAGACAAACAAAAATTCTAAAAACTATAGATTCGGCCTCTTTATCGATAGTAATGTTTATTTCAATAAAATTTTCCAAAAAATATTTAATGTACAGATTATACAGAAATACTTTTCTATACTAGATATTATTTAGAATACTAAAAACTTAATTTCAAATTATTCTTCAACATCTCATTAACTAAAAGCACAATTATACCAAAATAAAACAAATAATACAATAATAAATAAACATACAACGCTAAAATAAAACCTAACAGCCAATAACAAAGCTGTATACGTTCTAAGAAGCTTTTACACTTTTACTGAAACAATATTAGAAAGCTCGATATGGATATTCACGGGCGAAGCCTGAATACCGTTTTCATGCCGCATATATCTAAAGAACTGCTCAAGTACTACGTGTAAGGAATTTCGATGGACGTTTTGTGAGGCATTTATCAGTTATTATGTTTCAGTTCGAGATAATGTGGGTAGTTTATTATACATGCATATTGGTTGAACTGTTCGATAGATACCTAAAAATTGTGGAATTTCGAAATGTGTTAACCGTTTTTTGTTTTTTTAACATATATTAAACAATATCGAATAAAGTTTTAACTATGTAATTTTAGGAAATATCTATATTTTTAACCAACTTCCAAAAAGAAGGAGGTTCTCGATTACTTGAAGACCTGAATCGATTTGGATTTTTTTTGTTTGTTTCGAAGGGTATTCTTTCCAGGTAGTCAGTATTTTAATTTTATCGAAATCGGTCGAGCGGTTCTTAAAAACTCAACAATATTTTTTTTTAAATAAATTGCTTAATCGAATATGTTATTAATTACCTTTCTACTTACAAATTACCTGCTTATTACGTCTACACTAAAAATGGAAAAATAAAAGCTTTACAAAAGAATCTGAAAAATCTTAGGTATCTATTCTAAATGAAAACCCCCGTTTAGTTATTTTTTACATTTTAGTGCCTGGAATGCAATGGTTGCTTTTTTTTAAGTTTTTATTTGTATCTTTTTACGCACAGCGCCATCTATATATTATAGGTATATATGCTTAAAATACGAGTATATTCAATACAACATACTATAATTTTAATATCAATAAGTTCGTATTGTTTAGTGAAATTATATCAACAATATTTATATTATCTCCGCAATAACATTCAAATTAGACATCTAATACTATTTAAGCGGTGATTTGTGATCCCCAACAAAAGCGGTATAATAACAGGCAAATTGTGTGTAGGTCCATAAATAGATGTAAATGTGCTGGATAAATAGGTTTTATTAGTAAAATATAACTAGAAATCATCTGGCAAAATG